CAACAGTGAAAAGGGACCCCTTTCAAACAGTGTCGCGTTCCGAACGTTGTTTAAGCGGTATTGCGGTATTTTAAAAATTAATATCATAACAAAAATATGATAAATTGCATGTTTATTTTAGATCTGTGTGGTAGCAGCAATATACAGTAAATAAATCAATAAATCCACTGCTCTCTTGTCTCCTCTGAGGCTGGGACTCTACATAATGTTCTGTGCTCGTATGTGCAGCCAAAGACAGAACAGTTAGCATGTTTTGCTCAAACTTTCGCCATGGCATTAGAGCTGGTACACCGTTGTCGCTTGCGAAAACACAGTGACGGGGCCTTGGGTGGAAATGTACAGATTAAGCGGCGATAATATTATAATGAGATCCCTTTGCCACGTCACCAAGGGAGCGAAATCAGACGCGCTTGTTTTCTCAGATGCTTGCAGAAAAAGGCTTGCCAAAACAAAGTTACTGGGTTAATCTTTTTCACGTTTCCTTGGTTGGTAGATGCACCGGGGACCTGATTATAGCACTTAAAACCTGGAAAAGTCAGATTTTCATGATATGTCACCTTTAAATAAAATATGCGCATATTTAGATTTGGCACACTATTCCCAGTTAAGAGAACCAAAGTCAGTGGCATTATTAGCAACACTTGGCATTACGACTTATTAACTTATTAATTCCTTGACATGCCATATCTGAATATATGTGGACATGAATGAGATTTGGGAGGTGAAAAGTTCAGGTCATGTGGACCATTTTTATGGTGCTTTTTTGTCATTTTTCAAGTCTTCATTCACTTTTTTGTTCTGCTAACTCTCACAGCTCCCTCCACAGATTTTCTATAGGATTGAGGCCTGGAGACTGGCTAGGCCACTCCATGACCTTAATGTGCTTCTTCTTGAGCCACTCCTTTGTTGCCTTGGCGGTGTTTCGGGTCATTGTAATCCTTGAAGACTTGTCCATGACCCATCTTCAGTGTTCTGGCTGAGGGAAGGAGGTTCTCGTCCAACACTCTAAAAACTGCTGGGTTAAAAACAACTCAATTTGGGTTATTTTGGCAACCCAGCGCTGGGTCAAAAAGGGACGAACCCAGCTCTGAGTTGTTTTAACCCAACAAGTTGGGTTATATGTTTGACCCAGCATGCTGGGTTGTGATTTTTAATCCAACTATTAGTTAAAAATGACTACACTGCTGGGTTGAATTTAACCCAAAATGGGTCAGAAATGTAATCTAGAAATTTTAGTGATTAAAATGATTAAAATAATTCATCTACAGCAATACAGACTTCAGTAATCAAAATATGGAATTTTTTTATTGACAAAACAAGTAAAAATGTGTCCATATGAATGACATTTTTCCCATCTCCACTTCAGCATTAAGACAATTTCTATGAAAATGTATCAAACTATATCACAGAAACACTGTAACTGAAGTCAATAAAAATGCATCAAACTGACTGAAGTCAGAAAAATTAACTTTAAGAAAATACAAACTTGAAATATGAAAAATTTCATAACATTTACACAAACAATCATGTGCATAAACATCAATATCCTGAGATATATAAGAATAATCAGTAAGAATCATCAATTGCAATGTAATTGCAGTGTAGAAAAAAAACGTATGTACAATAATGAAACGGCATCAAACTGACTGAAGTCAGAAAAATTAACTTAGAAAATACAAATTTGAAATACGAAAAATAACATTTACACAAACAATGGCGACGTTCACACTGTCAGTTTTTGGGATTGACAACCGCATTTTCTTTACAGGTGTGAGTCTCGAAATGTCCCATTCACACAGCAGCTTACAGTTGTGTTTGGAATACTGTCTGTATGAACGTGCTACGGGAGTCAAGCCCGTATTCCTTACTAATAACCATAGCGACAGTGACCAAAGTAAAATCAAAGATGGCGACATGCATAAAACTGAAAGTCTTATCACTTTCTGACATGACAAGAGTAGGGCTGTGCGATATGGACAAAAAAAAAACAATCGCGATTTCTTGATCAATTTAGCGATTTCGATTTTAATCACGATTTTGACACACACAGACATGCTGCTGATCCACGGCTGTTTACCACAAACACAACATTTATACATTACTTTGATTTCAAATCCAAACGTTGTTTCTGAAAATGCTTTTTCAGCATTGTGATCCAGAGCGGAGCATTTGAATCACGTGCAGAACACAAAACTAACGGGATCTAAGACGTTCAGATGACACGCAGCTCATTTCTCCGTCACTGTAAGTTACCGAAAACACGTAACACACGGTAGATGCGCGTTTTGTGCGGCAGAGCGGCTTTCGCTCGCACTGTATGACGTGACCGACAACTAGTTGTCCATTCCTGGTCCGTTCACACAGCGCGTGTGTTCCGAGAATGCGGTTGTGAGTCCTGAAAATTTACGGGTGTGAGTTCGGTTACAGAATGTGGTTGTCACGCCTGTAAATAACCGAACTGTGTGTGAACGTAACCGTATTAAGGACTCAAAAACAGGACTGACAACCGTATTCTGCTGCTGTGTGAACGTGGCCAATCATGTGCATAAACATCAATATCCTGAGATATATAAGAATCATCAGTAAGAATCATCAATTGCAATGTAATTGCAGAGTAGAAAAAAGTATGAAGAAGTAATAATGAAACAGCATCAAACTGACTGAAGTCAGAAAAATTAACTTTAAGAAAATTCAAATTTGAAATATGAAAACATTTCATAACATTTACATAAACATCAATATATCCTGAGATATATAAGAATCATCTGTAAGAATCATCAATTGCAGTGTTGTATAAGAAAAATAGAAGTATTTAGAAGTAATAATGAACATGCATCAAACTGACTGAAGTCAGGAAAATTTACTTCCAAGAAAATATGTATGTGAAAAATGAAAACATTTCATATAACAGTGTACAAGTTAAAGAACACAGAATCCAAGGAAGCGGTCAGGTCACAGTAATAATAATAAAAAAAATAAATAAAATAAAAACTACAGTTTGTTGGCAAAAATGAATGCTTGCAGAACTCTTACTGCTGGTGTCTCCTCCCCAGGAAGTCCATACACCACAGTCTGTAGAAACTGCCACACCGGGGAACACTGCTTGGGGTAGTTTATATCAAAGATGTAGAATGCTTTAAAGCAAACATCCAGTGCAGCCAGTAATGTACTTTGCTCAAGTGCTGCTCCATTTATAATGGTGAAGGCTTGAAAGCACTGGTTGTCTCCAAGCATGAGAATGTAAGGGAATTCAATGGACTCTTTTGAACGCAGATACTCAGCCATATTGGTCCCAATCTGAAAAAAAGGAAAAATAAATAAATTGAAAAGAATTGGCATTAATTCATTAAGAACACAACATTTTAAAACTTAAATATCTTTAGAGGTACATTTAGGATACCTTAAATACCTTTAGGAGCATTAAAGACTATAACACACCAAGCCAACCATCAGCCAGTGTTGGAATGACACGAGGATAAATGACAGAATTAAATTTTTGGGGTAAAATGAACTTTTAAGAGCATTGTGTTTAAGATAACAGTACCTTTAAAGTAAATGTTTAACAAAAAATGCAATTGTCATTATTCATTAACCTTCAAGTTGTTCCAAATCCAAGTGAATTTTTCAATACATTGGAAGTAAATTCATACACTTTAATTTATTAATGTTTTTATATTGATCTGAGAACAAATAACGACTGGAAGTGACTATTTTCTGACACAAACTTCAAGAACTTTTATTCATCTTTAAGAGTCATCGACTGCAACAATTTTGAAGGCAGCAAAAGGAACACTTTGTGTTAATAAGAATGAAGTGATGAGGTTGAAACATAAGCATGAGTAAAACTAATCAAATTTTAATTGATCACTCCCACAATAATTTAAGCAATAATAGTTTTAAAGCAAATAAAAAAGGTATCCATCACATTTTACTAAGGTTTCAATAAATATGTACAATGGACTAGGGCTGTGTATCACCAGCAAAGTCACGATACGATACGTATCACGATACAGATGCCACGATACGTATCATGATACAGGACTGCACTGAATTTCACCTCAGAAGAATTTAGAAAAACAGCTGTTTATTAAACACTGCTTACTATAGTGCCATTTCTAACTATTGGCAGAGCAGGCAGTTGACCTCTGCATTATGAAGGGCCTCCATAACTGTACCACAGTACAATATAGGTAATGGCATATGTTTCATGTTTACATTGTGCACTCCCAACCAGGTACAATATTCTGATTGTTTGCATCTTGTTTTTAAGCCCATAAATAATAATGTACTCGTTCTAATAAATGTATATTGTAATGTACTCATTCTAATATATAAAAAAAATAATTTACATTGCTGGTAGGTTATCATTGCACAAATTAACACACTCTCTACAATAAAAAAAAAAAAACATTAGAAGAGTTCTAAACTAACGTGCAGTCTTCACTGTATCTAACGCACACAAGGCTGATTTACTCGACGCGTCCGCAAGTTCGCTTAGGTGCTCGCGGCAAATATGACATCATCACGGTGTTGGCGGAAGTTCGCTTTGAGTGCGCGCGACGTCATTTCGCGTGGCGGTGATGCAAGAGTTCAAAGCGACTCTAGCCGAACATGCACGTCTGTGCCAGCATTTGTGTGAAACAGAAGCAGTTAATGTTAAGTTCAGTCACACACACACACAGATCACGCTGCGGCCGCACTCAAGACATTCAGGAACTAACTTTTTAGCGCTGCCCCGCAGTTTTATCAACTAAATAGCTTAATCGCTCAAGAGCTACATTATCTTTCGCAAAAAGGAGCTGGTAGCATCATTGTTTCTAAAGGAATTAAAGCCACAGCTTTACTGTTAATAGAGAAACGCGGCAAAACGGTGGTAATTCATACATACACAGCCTCTCTCTCGCTCTC